TCCCTTTCCGTGGGGCCCTCCAGGGTGCCCTCCCCGCCACACTGCTGCTCCACAGGTGCCAACAACTGCCCTGTGCCATGCCCTGCGTCCAGCACTTTCTGTTGGGGGTTCACAGACACTGCTGCACATGAGAATTTCCCCAGGGAGCCTTTAAATATCCCAATGTCCAGGCCTCTTTCCAAACCAGTTAAGTCAGAAGCTCTGGCGTGTGACACAGGCGTCAGAATTTTTTAATCCCCCCTGCAAGCTGCTGGGTGTGCAGCCCCAAGTGAGAGCCCTCGCCTCACAGGAATTGACTAACCACTGGCTCTCAGCCGTGCCTGGCCCCGAGGTCACCTGGTCCTCAAGCCCTCTCACAGATGCAAAGGGGCACAAATCAAAGGAGAGAATGACAGACAGCTTAGAGGAGACCCAGAGAAAGCCCCCCAGGGTGCTGGAGGAGGGAGAGGAGATGATAGGAGGAGGTATCTTGAACTGAGGCTTTGGAATGGTTGCAGTCATTTAAGGAAAATGTGTCTTGGGTGGTTGGCGTCAAGTTGGTAGATCCACCTGGTGTAGCTGGTAAAATATATACTCAGCCTCATGTCTAACAAGTATTCGTGGTTCCTGCCTGCGGAGATCATATACAGAGGGTGCCAAAAAAAATGTATACACATTTTAAGATAGGAAAACTGTACTAAAATTGTAACACTCAATATATACCGATAACAAAAGATGAATACAAGTCATATTTGACTTCTGCAATGACAAGAGGTGCTTAAAGTGGTTACCATCAGTGTCCAGACACTTCTGATGACAGCGAACTACTGCTTGAACAACGTTTACCAATGTGTCCACTTGTATACATTTTTTTGCCATCCCTGGTAGTGTATATGGCCCTTCATTATATTGGGTCGTCAGGAAAGTCATGACGTATTTTTCTATGTTTTTCAATGCAAAAATGCATCATGACTTTCCCGACGACCCAATAGATTAATGACTTTAAAATTGTGGTCATTGTAATTTACTCAAACATGATGAGGAAGTAAATTTATCATACAATATATTNGGGGTTCGTCCTCTGTCGCCTCTGCCGCTCCTACCAGACTTGACGTGGCCTCCCCTTTAAGTCCTTCACTTAGAGGTTCTGTTCATCTAGTGTTCAGGGGACTTCTGAGGTTGAAGTTGTATAAATTATTTGTAATTTTGGTGTGATCCTGGGAGGCAGTTGGTACAGCGTCTGTCTATTCCGCCATCTTACCGGAGGTCCACCATGTTCTATTTCAAACCAAGGTGACCCATCCATTTTCCATCAAGGAATTCTTTTATCCTGGACACTTCCATAAAAGTTGTGAAAATTGCATTTACAACAGTGTTTTTAAACATTCTGACGCTGATCTGTTGAATCTGTACATGCTGTCAAATACCAGTCTTCTGGGTTTCTGAGCAAAGCAACGCTCCTCTCTGAAATGGCCCGTAATGTGACAAACGGGTGACTCCTGCTAACTCAGCTCTGTACTGTCCCCGGTGTGGCGAGCTTGGCGGTTTGGTGCAGCACGTTGGGATGTATTCGTCAGAGGCTGTGTGTATGCACAGCAGAAGGGATTTGATCTGATTCCAAACAATTGAATAAAAGTGCAATTCGCCAGGGAGAACTCGAGTCTGTTGGCGCTTGCAGAGTGCAGATAATGTGCCAGAGTAAAGAGCTGAGGCTTCATTCCTTACAGTCACATAACAACATGAGGGTGTGAATTATTGTTTCCTTGCTGTTGGTCTATGTCAAGAGTATACCATTTTCCCCCATTATCATAATAGGTTACATTTTGTTAACATCATTTGATTATGATTGGGGCTGTCTATTCAGTTTGCAAATGAAAAAGCTTTTGCATTGATAAACGAGCGGTTTTCAAACAGCCTTAATCTCTGGTTCTGCTTTTGGACTGCTGCAGGTCAGACGCTGTGGAAGGCTGAGAGGAGCCGGTCCAGCTCGCGGGAGAAAAAGGAGGTAAACGCACCACTGGCGGGGGCTGGCAGGAGGCAGCTATGGGAAGGGCCCTGTGGGAGCAGGCTGGCGATTCCATATTCCTGGGTCTCCTGCTCTTTTCTCTCTGAGTCCTAAGCTTGACTCCCTGACCAAACGATACTCAGCAACTGGAGTTATAAACCCAGTGTCACCTGTAGTCATCATCGCTTGCTGAGTGTATCAGTTAGCTTTGTCCGTGGAACTTATCATCCCCAATTTCAGTGATTTAAAACAGCTGTGCATTTAGGCCACCATTCTGTGGGTTAGCAATTCGGGCTAGGCTTACCTGGGCAGGTCTGCCGGTGGGCCAGGCTCACTTAGCGTTTGCAGTTACCTGCCATTGCCTGGGGACTGGCTCAGTATCAGTTAGGGTTCTCCCCCAGTGTTCTTTCATCCTCACATGGAGAGTCAGTACTTCAAACGTTTGACAGTGGAAACTGCAGTGCCTCTTTGCCCAGTGTCACTTCTGCCACTTTCTATCCTTCACAGCGAGTCCCAAGGTCAGCCCGGATCCAAGTGGCGGGGAATGAGGCCTCACCTCTTGATAGGAAATCTAGAAAACATTGTGGCCATTCTTGAAACCTACCGCTCTGAACCTGTCTGCCCCGTTCCAGGCACCAGGGCTGGGATGGAGGCACGTCTGAAATGACCCACGATCTTGGACTGTGCCTAGTGTGGTTAGAAGGGATGAGCAACAAGGTCTTTCCCATGCCGTGTGAGAAGTGCCAGCATGCGAGAGAAGGGCAAAGAAAGTGACATTTCAGTACAGAAAAAGGGGTCACTGAATTCTGCCGGCAGTTATCAGGAAAGGCTTTGCAGGTGTGCTGGCTGCTCCGAAGGGCCCGGAGGAGTTTTCCAGGTCAAAGTCATGGAGACGTGAATAGGAAAGATACCAGATCTTTGAGCCTGAGGTGGGAAGTGGTGCAAGCCCCCGCTGGTCACTGCAGGGAGGTCTGGAGCTCGTGGGGTTTTAAATATGAGTCTTATTCATGGGCAGATGGATACAGGGCTGTGAAGGCATATAGCTCCTCATAAATATCAAATTCACCAACATGTGTATACGAACACTTTTTTATTTTTATTTTTTTTAAAAGATTTTTATTGGGGAATTGAGGGAGGGGAACAGCGTTGGGAAATCGGGGAGGGGGAACAGACAAGTTGCTGTCCTTTTGTTCTTCAGTCTAGTTGTGGAGGACGTCACTTCACTGGCCCGTGTTGGTATTATCATTGTGCTCTTCCCAGGTGAAGCAGTTGCTCGCTGGCCTTTGGCCGGCCACTCACAGCGGCTCACGGCAGCTCACGAAAACTCATGCCAGCTGCCAGCGAGCCCTATTGCAGCCTATGCCGTCACCGGTGACTCATGGCAGCCCAGCTTCAGGTCGAGCTGTTGTTCACCATCTTAGCTGTAGGGGTGCAGCATCACTGGCCCTCATGTGGGATCCGAACCAGGGCCCCACTGCTCAGAGCTGGCGTCCCAAGCCAACGCTTAACCAACGCGCCACTTGGCCTGCCCAGTGTATACGAACACTCTTGATCGTAAAGTGACATAATTCTAATGAGGAAAAGAATTTCTCAGGCTCGGCTAGGTCCAGGGGCACAAAAATGGCCGCAGGATTGACATGCTCTTTCTCTTTCCATGGCGTGGCTCTGACTCCTCTGTTCTGGCCCCACCCTCAGCCAGCTCTGAGGGTGTGTGTTGGGGTGGGACTGCACAGGGCCCTCTGTTTACTTTGCTAGGACTCTCATCCTCTGTCCTGTCCTCTCCTTTCTCAGCTGGAACCAGTATAGCCAGTGTGGGTTCCTTCTTATTTAATTAACCTTACCTGGA